TGTGTTGGTGCGCGATGACGGACTGTCGGCATCAGAGAGAGAGAGAGAGAGGAGAGAGAGTTGAGATTGAGGATGGACATGGATTTGCGCTTTTCTTTTCGTTCCCTTTTTTATCTGTGTATATAAGTTTTGGTGTCAATCACGGGCAATTCGCCCTTGTCTTTGCGGCCATATGCTCGTCCTGTTGTCCGATTTGGTTTTGTTCTTCTTTTCATCGATGATTTCTCCTTTTTTTTTCCTTCCCCGGAATCCTCTTTTGCAAATAACGTATGGATGGTTCGTGCACCCTCGCCTTTCGTTTTTTTATCGTTTCCTTCGAACCCTCATACATGATGAGTGAAAATGGGGATTGCATGCTGGCGTGATCAATAGAGTGTGTTGGCTTGTTGTATCTTACGGATAGTCTGGAGCGCACCATCCGACGTGCCATAGGGATACATGCAAGTCCGATCCGGACAGAGCGCGGCTACACGTGTCCCTACCATCGCCAATAACGTCTTAACTAATGCGAGTAGCCAGCCCTTCACTGAAGAAGGAGTCGATGTCAATCGGGATCGGGTTACCCATCGCGCGTAAGTGCGCATAAGTGCGACTCGTTCGCATCTCTCTTACGCACTTACGAGCGGTGATCTCCCCGATTAACTTATCCCCCCCCCAAGACGTGAGTGATGAAAGAATGACGAGCTCGCGGAGTTCCGACGTATCTTGGAATTCCGAGGATTACGAGTCGTATTTCGGGCACYGAGAAATCTGGGAAGAAGAACAACTCCGGTTACGGGAAAATTTGAGGAACCCGGTATTCCCCTGCCTCACAGAAAACGATAGATTCTGCGCTAGGGAATTCCATCTCGCCGTACGAAGCGACCCGCGGGGACCCGACTACCCAAACACGTACAACATGCAGTATTTCATAACTCCCGGCTTCGTCCTTGTCGCCACTAGTTTCCCGCCATACCACCTCCTCCTCCCCTATCATCAGCTTACAGTAGTACCGTGGAATTCCATAGCACCTTATTGGCCCTTCACCCCGTGCCGAAGCTGCAGGCGGCGTGCGCATACCCGAACCCTCGAAGCCTCGGCGCCTAGGCTTAGTTCCCACCAACCCACGCCACGTGGCGGGCTCCGCAGGTGTGAGCCCCAAAGACCGCCCCAACAGGCTCCCCATAACCGGCGATCGCGTCAGGATTGGACGGCCCCGCACAACCAACGTGCAAGCCCGCGCCTGTAAATTTTCCCATTGCTCTATTGCATCTATGCCCCTGAACCTTGCCACCGGAGATCTCAGTTCCGACCTGAGACTCCACCCCCATTTTCCCAAAATCCTTGGCACACCCCTTTTGCACTTCCAGGCCCACACCCTACTCCGATTAGGAAGTCGCGCCGGGCGTGAGGTTGGTATCGGAGCCCGATACGTGGCTAAGCGATAAGGGTCTGTAGACTCAATAATGGCTAAGGCGAGGCGATCTGGCTCCACGTAGGCGCCCTCCAGCTGGTAATACACGTCGACGTAGTCCTGTAGCTACACGAAGCCGAAACTCCGCCACAAGGCGAGCAGGCGCCATGGCTGCGGCCGCTGCTGCAGCAGCCACTGCGGCGGCCATCCCCAATCAACCACCCAGCCCGCCTGCGCGAACCCCTACGGCTCCACCAGATCTTTATTTATTTGACCCAGCACATCATCTCGCCGGAGCATGGTTGGCCATGCTCCGAGCTCAGCGGTATACGAACGATGAAGCTCAGATTAACATCCCCGCGAGGATGGGGGGAGACACCCATCATTGGTATAACACTTATGTATGGGTGGATCTTCCCACATTTGAGCGGGATTTCATGAACCACTTCGATTATGTTCACCCCGAACAAGCACTCTATATGATCAAAGATCGAGTCCAGAAACCACTCGAATCCATTACCGAGTATCGGAATAGATTTCATCGAATGTTTGTAAAGACTGAGCGAGGCGAGCAGGTAGGCCGGGACCTGTTCATTGATGGACTACGTAACAGAACGATTCGGGGGAAGCTACGTAAAAACTTCTCTCCCATTAATCACACGCTGCAACAAATTATGGACGCTGCCGAAGAGATGGAGCGGAAATTCGCAGCTAGYTTCTTAGAAAATGAGGATTACGGTGGAGAAGGAGACTCGTCCGAACTTGTGAAAGCAAGGGCGGAACTGGCCGCACTACAAAACAAATTCGAAAACATGGGATTCGTAGCCGGACCCGTTACGTATGTAGAGCAGGTAACACCGAGGACCGCACCCCATGGAGCGACYKTAGATMGGCARATCCCGGTAATGGCGTCCCCAAYCGTAACTYGGCCACCTCCACCGCCACCCACCATCGAGTCACCCGCAAAAACGAATGAGTCTACTGCTATCTTGGAGCTAACTAAAACATTGGTTAGTTTAATCCAAGAAAGCAAGAAGGAACATCGAGAACACAACGCCCGATTAGAAGCTATGATGCGGAATATGCGACCCATTGCGGTGCGAGTACCAATGCAGGGAGGCATGGCTGCTGCACAAGTGGCAGCGGGGCCAGCCGAGACAACGACAAATGCCTGTTTTACATGTCATCAACCGAGACACTTGGTCCGAGATTGCCCCCATCGTGCCATGCAGCCCTGAGCCGGGATCGCGCCTGCTGCTGCAGCTCCCATAGCTAACGGCCCAAGACGTGTAGGAGCCGTAATATCACTAGGATACCCGGGGCTGGGAATGATTGGGACAATTCGACCGAAACTCGAGTCCAGGGATGTCGCAGAATGGCGGCCTTCGTCGAGCGAAATGGAGACGGGAGGCCCTACCTTTGTTACATGAGAAATAGATGTCCTTGAGGTCACTCGAGCACTGGATCATTAACCGGAAGCGATTCGCTCTTGCCCGCGCAAAAGAACAGAAGGCGAAGGCGCCGCCTTCGGAGGAAAAGGCGGACGTCGCCCCTGATCCCATCCGAGTCGGATTAATACAGAAAGATGACCACTTTCTTCAGATCAAGCCGATTCCGTGAAAGTCAGCCGAATGTGATATTGAAGTCTGGGGAATGCCGTTTAGTGCGATCATAGATTCGGGAGCGGCTGTCCTAGCGATATCACTCCGAGTAGTCGAGAGAGCGGGTAGGAAGAATGATTTGATTATGCTAACCGAGAAGGACCAGCTCGTATCGTCTGACGAAGAAAAGATCAAGACAGTAGGACGTATGACGAATGTCGCGTTCCGATTGGGAAAAGTGCATGCTTTAGGAGATGTTGTGGTGCTGGACGTGAATACGTATGACGTTCTGTTCGGGCTTCTTGCATTAGTGGCGCTGCGTGCTAATTTGGACTTCGAACGCCGATCCGTCATTCTCCGGAATACCGGGGGAAAGCCGTATGTAATACCCATGAGACTAACTCTTCGAACGACAGTTAAGGTAGTACCCCGAATTTCTCCGAAAACAATGGGAGCGCTCCGCATGGTTTCCTGGAATGCAATTGTGGACGGAGGCCAATCATCGAACGACGCGTGGAGCGACGACAATGACGACCCAGTCGTTACGCGGTTATTACGGCAGCAGATTCACTACCCGCCGCCTCACAGTATTGTGCGCACCATGCATCTAACCACACGAAATGCTCATATGTTGATCATGGGAGAACCCCTCGTACAGATTTCGAGGCTGGTTGATTCCTTGGAACCCCCTCGGACCCTATACGAAGGCGTATCTCCCCTCCTCCTTCGGTATAGTGACAAACGTTCCTTTTGTGATCTCACTGGCTTACCTCGATCCCTGCTTCAGCCCGCCAAAGAAGTCCAGTTGTTGCGTTTGGGAGTCGAAGCAGGTTCTTTGGAACCCCCTCAGCACATCGAGGCAAGATCCGATGAATTCGGGATCAAAATCTCGCCCAGAAACGTGCCCTGGCGAGACATCTGCGACGGGATAACCCCTGAAGGTCATACAACGATCAGGGAGGAGGAAGCACAGATGGTGCCCACTGTGTTTTCTTGGAGATCGGATCACTCTTTTATATTTGCACCGCCGACACTACTCGGCGTATACACACGAAGCAGGTTAACGTTAGGATTTTGGATCAGATGTATGAATTGCATGTGCCCCAGTATGTGCCTGATGAGATCCATCGGTTGATCGCTGATATTTTAATAGAATATCAAGGGGCGATTATGGTGTCCGATGCTGATATTGGATTATCTGTGGTCGTTCAGCATGAGATTCTGACCGGGAATCATTCCCTGATCCACTGCAAACCGTACCGACTCGTTGACAGAGCGCAAGACGGCCTTGCAGCGAATCAGGGAATTTGAGGCAAACAGATGGATTGAGCCTGCCACCGGTCCCTGGTCGTTCCCAGTTGTGTTGGTTCCTAAAAAGAACGGGTCAGTCCGCATATGCATCGATTATCGAAAGTTAAATGATATCACGATTAAAGATATGTATCCCCTTCCCCGGATTGATGATCTACTTGATGTGATCGGGTGTGTTAACTACTTCAGCAAGTTCGACATTCGGCATGGGTTTCATCATATCTTGGTGAAAGAAGAAGATCGACCCAAGACCGCCTTCGTTTTGTTTGAAGGCACGTGGCAGTGGGTTCGGTGCCCGATGGGAATCTGCAATGCGCCTGCCACGTTTCAGCGGGCGATGAACGTGACTTTTCATAATTTCGTCAATAAGACGCGGCTGACTCAGGGGATGATTAACTTTTGTGTCATTGTGTACATGGATGACATTCTGGTGTACTCGGACATGTTTCACGGACACGCGCAACACATCGAGTGGACGTTGGGTGCGTTGAGAGACGCAGGTTTCAAGATTGCGCTGAAGAAGAGCGAGTTTTTCCTCCCGGAAATCACGTTCTTGGGGTATGTGGTGACACGTGGAGGCCTGCGGCCGGACTCTCAAAAAGTCGCGACGGTCAAAGAGGCCCCGGTTCCGACCTCGCTGACGCAAGTTCGAGCCTTTTTGGGCCTGGCCTCGTATTACCGCCGGTTCATCAAGGGGTTCGCGGCTATAGCAAGGCCTCTGACAAACCTGCTGCGAAAAGAACAGCCCCTTCATTGGGATGACGAGTGCGACCAGGCCTTCGGGGCCCTGAAGGATGCTCTCGTCACGACCCCGATTCTGATCCGACCGGACCCCTTTCGGCAGTTTATTCTCATCACCGACTGGCAGCCGGAGGCTATTTCGGCCATCCTGGTGCAGAAGGGAAACGATGGGAAGGAGCATGTCATTGAGTACGCTTCTCGGACGGTGCCAGACGAGCGACGAAATGATTCCGCGTCACAAGGAGAATGCTATGCGGTAGTGTGGGGTATCCAACACTTCCATCCGTATTTGTACGGTCAGAAGTTTTTGCTCGTCACCGACCATGAACCTCTGTTGGCTCTGAAAAAGCTAACCGACTACACGGGCATGATCGGACGGTGGGCGGTGCGGTTGCAAGAATATGAATTCGACATTGTTCATCGAAAAACGGAAAGACACGGCAACGCTGACGGACTGACACGTTTGCACCGACCCGGTAAAGTACCAAAAGCGGAAGAGATCACACCGTGGAAGGACCCGAACATCAACAACGGTCCAAAGTACGGAGAAGTTGCGGTTATTCCACGTGGCAAGAAGCCGGTGAAGGGCAATGGGTGACGGAGGTCATGTCCCGATTCCCTCTCTCTCTTCCCCATCCTTTTCCTTCGCCTCCCTTCCTGACAAATTTTGCTATTTCTGCGAGGCAATTTCTCGAGTCTATTCCGTCCACATGTGTCCAAAAGGGACGGGATATGTTGAATGGGTAGATTGTTGGAAATGTGTCGCACGTGTTCACGGTGCATGCATACAGTATCGGAGAAGTGATAGACCCTGGTTTTGTCCCTTATGTCGCACTGACAAGATTCCGACGGAAGCCTGATTCCTCGATGCCACGTCGGAAGGCCCCGACAAAATCCAGAAGTTTAGAAAAGCGGAAGTCTGGACAGATGTCGCCTTGATAGCCACGGTGGTAGGCAACTCCCTCGAAACCTTCACCAAGGAGGATCGGAGGAGGGCCAATGAAAGAGCACGGGATTACCGATGGGTAGATGGACGGTTAGAGAAGCGTAAAACGGATGGCAGTGGAGCATGGTTAGTAGTTCCGCACTCGTTCATGCGGTACGACTGGGTACGAACCGCCCACGAGGAAACGACGACGCATTTTGCCGTGCGTATTGCCGAAGCTGTGATTGACAGAAATCAATGGTACTGGTCCAATATCCGAGACGACGTTAAATTTATCGTCCAACACTGCCAGGTCTGTGCTGCTGACAAGGCCCCAACCCAACCGCCTAGGTTGATAGTCCCAACTGTGGTTGAAAGGCCGTTTCAGAGGGTTAGTATGGATACTACTGATATAGTGGTGCCCCCTGGACCGAATAGTTGCGACTGTTCAATTCTGCTGGTTTTCGTCGACCACTTTTCTAAGTGGATCGAGGCCTACCCCTGCAAGACACAACAAGCCGCGGAAATCTCGTGGTACGTCAACCGTTTTCTGGGCATGCACCAGGACACAGAGGAGATCCTGACCGACAATGGGGTCGAATTTAGAGGAGGAGTCGAGAGGAACCTGGTCATACACGGCGTCTCCATACGGCACACGGCCCCGCACGTGTCCCAGTCTAACGGATTAGTGGAAAACGTGAATAGGGTGATAAAAACGGCCTTGCGGCGGGATACTGCGGCACGAGACCCCTGACCCTGGCCTGATATTGTTGACCACATCTTGGCGGTCCATCGCGGAATGCCCCACGAATCGACGGGCCTGAGCCCCTTCCAGCTGCGGACCAATAGTGTCGCGTGTGTATCGATACCGAGCCTCCCAGACGAATCAGGACTCGACCGACGCCCCACAAGGGCCACCGCTTGGGACAAAGCCAAAAGGCACTTGGAACTCATGGAGCGGTCCCTACCTAGACTGGCCCGGAAGCGCCAACGGTCCACCGAATTGGCCCACGACCGACAGGTCCGGAGTTACGAGGCCCGGAACGGGAATGCGGGTCCCAGGACCCAGTATAAGTTAGGGGACATCGTGCAGGTAAGGAAATGTGCGCGCCAGGGTAAACTAACGCCACGATTCTTCGGACAATATCGGGTGATTGAACTCGGACCCAACGGCGTGGACACTGTGCGCCTCGCTCCCGAGATTTCCGGCAGTCGATCGGCTCGCCCGATCACACGCCACGTGTCCTATCTCCGTCTTTTTCCCTTTGTTCCGTCTCCTTCTCCATCAACCTCTCCCGACGATGACTCTATCTCCTCTGCATCTCCTTCTCCTTCTCAATCTCTGTCGGATCCGCCGTCACCCTCCCCATTGCCATGAGCTTTATGGAGGAGAGAGCTCTAAGTGAAGAAGCGCTGGTAGCACGGGGGAATTTGACACTGCGGCAGGTGCATCATCCTCGTCTTAGTCCGGACCTTCAGCGGGTTGCGCAATTCTTCTGCTCGAAGGGCGTCTACGCGGCAGCAAAGATCCACGTCGACGGGAGGGCTGACGCGATCATATTGGCCGAAGCTATCGGGTTGCGGCAGCGAACATCTGTGGACGTCGGCCGGATAACCGTGGTGGTTAATTTCAGTGGGGATCTCACGGCGATCCCCCCCATCTGACACACGAGAATCAAGGCGACGTTGTTTCTGTGGGCGCACAATCTTCAGAACGAGTGGACCCAGATCCTGGCGCACCAAGGGGACGTGATCGCACCAATCCGAGCGATCGAATACAACGGCCTTCGGCTGGATCGGCGTGACTCGCCAATGCAATTACCCCCTCTCATCCCCTTCCATCCCCGATGAGTTCCTTCCCGATCTCTACTTTCGAGCTTCCTTCTTCCTTCCCCACCTTTTGGCAGTCCGATCTTCATCCCCGCCAATCCTTCTGCATAGATCCTCTGGTTGTTCCCCTCATCGATCCCTCTCAGTGGGACGCGTGGCCCGGAGACTTCATCAAACTCTCACTGTGTTTGGCGGAAGTACGGGTGACATGGACGAGGGACGAGAGCAATTATCCGCGATCTGAGCGATTGGAGCTCCTTTCGATTTAGGCGTGGCGGGCGGAAGTAGAAGGGGACCTTCTCGGTTTTCTATTCTGGGCAGTGCGTTCATGTTGTCGGAGGCTTCTCACCCAGGAGCTTAGGGTCCCAATTGCGCAGCTGGCCGACCATCTTGACATCAGCATTGTCTCCCAGGTCGACCCGCGCTTGGTGCCCCACGTCACCTCGCGCACGCCGTCGCCGTATCTTAAGTGGTCAGCTTGCGTGGAGGGCTTCCCATCGAGAATTCCGCCTTCACGGTTGGATTATTTGTATCCTCGCGACATCGTGGATCCCGCTTTCTATAGACCGTCGTACGAGGACCAAGTAGAGGAGATAATCCGCGAGGAGCTCGCGGAAGAAAGTTCGGAGGAAGAGGAGGAGAATCTGAACAAAGACGAAGGGGAGCCGGCACAGCAACAAGAAGGAGACGAAGACGAGCTCCTGCAAATGGAGAGCAAAGAAGAAGCAGAAGAAGAAGACAGCGAGCAGGGGAGCGGTGATGACAACGACGAGGAGCAGGCCAACGAGGATCCCCAGCTAGAAATTGCGCCGGTTGCTGATCTTCCGATCAGCAACGATCCAACGCTCGACCCGGAGCCACCTCTGCCAGACGACGGCCATGTGGCCCAGGTGGTTGGGCCGTCCGCTCGCCAGCCTCCTTCCCCACCGCGACGCCGCCGACGAAGCCGCTCCCCCTCCGCCTCTCTCTCCCTCGCAGCCCGTCCCCCACTTCGAGCACGTCGAGATGAGGCCGATCGGTCTTTGTCCTCGGTCTCTCTCTCTCCGCCCCCATGACTTCCTCACCCTGCGCCAGCTCACCCGTCCCGCCGTCTTCCCCCACAACCCCTTCCCCCGCGACACTTTCCGTCATTACTTCTCCATCCGTCTCTCTGTCACAGTCCATCCCCACTCATCCTCCCAGCGTGCTTCCCCCGAGTTCCCTCTCTATGTACTTCTCTTCAGCATTGGATGGCGTCGTATTAACGCCGTAGAGGTTTATTGCCTCATCACGAGGTTAATCCCCGCATGCGCCGATCGCGATCGCTTTCGCGTGGCGCTTCTTAGAACCTTCGCCACTCTTTATCCCAACTACCTCGCTTCTCTCCCCACTACTGGCCGCCGATTCCCTCGCTTCCATAGAATCGTCCATCATCGGAGCCTTCCGGAGACAGACGACGAGCTGGAACGCTTCTTCCCGCCTATCCCGACTCATCCCCCATAAACACCTCCGCCTGCCTATCGTCTTCCTTTCCCTCTTCCCCACGAATGACGACAACCAGGATACGACGGCCGCGCAATATGACTTCCACACTCGTTCGCACGGTATGCGTCAGGAAAGAAGATCAACCATCCACGGCCAATCAATCGAAGATGAGCAACACGTCAGCTAGCAAGCAGGAGCTTGCTTATCTTTGGAACCCCCTGGGCGTCACATATGTGACGAACTAGCTTCTGTAACGCGCGACTTTCGGCGCGAAGTGCTAAGCGGGGTCCCACGTCGATTGGACGGGTTGATGGAAAATTGCATGTGTGTCCTTGCCTTTTTGTTGTTTCTTTGTTCTCGCACGAGCCCCTGATGACAGTTGGGGACAATTCGGGAATACCAGGGGAAAAGGGGGCAAAACTTGGTCGGATGCGAAGTGCGCGCCGAGTGCGCAATTAATAAACATTGACGTTTCTTCTTTTCTTTTGTTTCCCTTCTTTTCTTTCGTTTTGTCGGA